ACAAGTCCCAGCACAGGAGACAGCATAAGGTATGTTAGTGGGGCACGCGTAAGAAGCTCCTGCTTTCCCCAGGTTTTAGGTACATTCCCTGGGTGACAGAAGAAATGAAACATCGCATTGAAGGGTGTTTATGAACAGGCCTAAGAATGTAGTGGTATAAAACGAGATATATAACCAATATTAAATGCATTGTCTCTTTAGAATTTATTTATCGCCCTCGATGATCTGATAGTATTGGTACATTATTTGAGTTTTGAGGGCTCAACTTCAATGTCACACACCTGATACCGTAATGGCTTGCCTTGCATTCCTAGTCTGCCGTTTAAACGCCAAGTATTTCGCAGAATAAATCCCACCCCAACCTCGTTTCTCAGGACAGCTTCAACCGTACGAGCCAATCAAGAACGTAATGATACCTCAAATGGAAACATTCTCAGTTTCAAATGGATTAAGTTCTGAGGGCTATCGTAAATCTCATAAAAGAAAAACACAGGTCAACGCTAAGTACAACAGCAAGAATATAGAGACAGTCCTAGACAAATCGCAAAGGTGGATAGAGGTTTAAATAGCAATCATAAGGCCAGGTTTTCAACTACCAGCCCCAAGTCCTGCTGGAAGCCGTAAACACTGGCGGCTTCCATTGTATCCTTTCTGCGTCAATAACCCGCCTCTTCTTCGTTAATTGCCTCTCTCTCTGCTTAATGAGCTTTTCTGGGATAATGATTTTGTGGTCGCTCTTGTGATACACTTGCATCTTCAAAGCTTGAAGCGTATGCTCAACATCTTGTGTTGTCATGGCAAGCGCTGTCGAGATGGCCTCGATTGTCGCTTTCTCTTCTCGCTCATTGTACCCCATCAGAAGCTCGATAATGTTCTCCGACCAGAATTGACGATAACTGAGAAGACCTAAATCTGACAAGGGCTTCTCTGGCGAGCCAAGCTTCCCCTCGATCCTTGAAAGTTCGTAGGAAAACTGAATTAGGAGTCGACCGAAACCTTTTCGCTGGTATTGAGGTAGCGTCAAAATACAGGCTACGTTATATCCATCTGCACTCTCCTTCTCTTTTGAGAAATACCCCACGAGATGGAATCCTTTGTCGCTCCTGATTGTCATGACGTAGAACAGGAAAGGATCGACATCATAATAGAGTGTTTTATGGTCCAGGAACATTTTTGACAACAAGCAGAGGTTCCGGCACCATGTGCGCTGTCTCCTTCCGTCAATCTCGAAGAAGGAAATGTATTCGTCCCGGTAGATCTCATTTCCAGGAGGATGTTGAAGAGTGCACTTCTTTCGATGCCTCACAAAGGAAAATTCGTCGCCATAATAACCCAGGCAAAACTCGCAAATGTAAATAACGTCTTCCAAGCTGAACACCTCTGGATAGGGCGAGAAATACCAAGGGAAGAGGTCGTTCTTCCCGAATTGGACCTTGGAAATATTTCTGATTCTCGAGACCTCGGTGGGGTTTTGAGTCATCGAGCCGGACGTCCTCAACTTCTCAATTTCGTCTTCGCGGCTGAATCCGTGACCATCCTTCCTCTCTTGCGATTCCTTGTCGTCGATGTCCATTTCCTCGCCCAGCCCGGGCGTCGCACTAGCTTCCACACTATCTGTTGTCTGCGTTTCACCTTCGGGTCCGATCGATGCCGACTTTCGTTGTTCCTGTGACTCGACGAACTCTAAAGCTCAGCGGTTAGATACCAGATCTGACTTATACGATGGGAGCGAGAGAAGATTCATACCTGTCCATGGATGCGGCGTGCTGGCTTCCGACACTGTAGATTGTTCTCGCTTGGTTCCAGGGCGCTTTTGTGCCTTTTTCGACACCAGAGTCTTCTTGTTTGGCGGTGGCGCCTTCTTCTTTGGCTCCTTAGGTTTGTCCTTCTCTGGGTTCGGCCATTCTACGTCTTGGCTGAAATCAATTCGTGCCACAGGTACCCACTCATCCAGACGCTTGTTGAAGTTATCGAAATTACAATAGAACTGCTTGCCACTCTTGGTTGTCTTGATGCTAAGAATCTCGGCGCGTCGTGGCTTGCCGTCTTTCTCCACCCAAGCGATGCAGCCGGAGGTGATGGTGTCGGGTGTCGCAGGTCCCTTTTTTTTGGGCGCATCGGATCCAACGGTGGCCTCTCCACCGGGAGTGCTTACAGCCATGATGGAAAGTTGTTGCGCGTGGAAGTTGTTGATGGATTTTACAGATGGGGTGCTTTCAGAATGACCGGAGACGGAATCTCTGAATGTTGAACGTTTTGGAGGGGCGGCAGAATCTTATCGAAATCCCCAGAGCTATCTTATCGCAAAGGCGGTGAGAATATTTCGCGACTGAGCTAGACCCTGTTAGACTTAACTTCACTACCCACTTTAAGAGATTCCATTTTGGCCCTACTAAGATCATTAGAATAATCCCCAGAGAGTGTCATTAGGTCGACGAGAATTTCATCCCCCGGATTCAAGGAATGTCTTGGTAATACTTTATTTAAAATTATGGCAGAATTATCCTCGAATTGGAAGAAGCTTCAAGCTAAATTGAAAATCGAGTCTGCCGCAAAGCCTTCGTTGAAGCGAAAGCCGACAGAACCAACACAATCAGGCCCCAAAAGAGCAAAGATAGCCCAAGCAGCAGCTCGGAAATCATCCCAAAAACCAGCAGTCAAAGCCAAAAACAGAGCAAACCGTAATAATCAGCCCATGGGGGCTGTTCAAAGTACCAGGATTGAGCAAGAGCCGAAACAGGGCGTATCTCCCTCCCTGGCACTATGGGCCGCAGACAACGACATATCCGCTGAGGCGTTGGCAGAGGCGTATGACCTCGGGGTCAAAGGCCATTCAATGATGACCCCTGGTACAAAGGATAGAGTCAATCACGGTCTTACGGAAGGGGTTGACATAGGCAAATACGTTGCCCTTGATTGTGAAATGGTAGGAGTTGGCCCAGGTGGCTATGAGTCTGCCTTGGCACGTGTCAGTATCGTCGACTTCCATGGCAAGCAAATATATGATTCGTACGTCAAGCCAAAGGAGAGGGTTACGAATTGGAGGACCGAGGTAAGCGGCATCAGCACGAAGGAGATGAGATTCGCACGGGACTTCGAAGAAGTTCAGAAAGATGTCGACACTATTCTTCAACACCGCATACTAGTTGGCCATGATATCAAGCACGACCTTGAGGCCCTTAAACTGCCTCATCCACCACGAGACATTAGGGATACTGCCAAATATCCGCCTTTCAGAAAATACGGCAATGGGAGAAAACCTTCACTACGAAACCTGGCCCAGGAAATCTTGAGCATAGAGATTCAAAGCGGTGCACATTCGAGTGTTGAAGATGCTCGGGTCACCATGCTTCTGTTCCGTAAACACAAACCCGGGTTTGATGTCGATCATGCACATCGGTATCCGACAGTTCAGAAAGGCAAAGGAAGCACCGGAGCAAAAGGGAAAAGGCCGAAATCCAAGCGGAAAGCATGAGATTGTCATATTACCGAAAGACAATACACACTGTGCGACCCTGTCAAGAAAGAGATGGGCCATCTAGATTCCAGCTCTGTTGGATGATAGCCAGACTGGCTCAAGCCATCAGTTTTTAATGTCGAGTTGTACCATATTTACCCACGATATTACAACAAATCTACCAAATGAATAATATTTTCCACGTTTCAACTACTGGCTGAAGGAGCTCATGCTTATTTTGGGGCGGCGGGATGCCAGTACATTCCCTATCATCATATTAGCTGGGAACTGACCCGAGAATCCGCGGCGGCTGCATATCGGCTTCCATGTTCTGGAAGAAAGCTATTGCACGTGAATCCAACTTCGGATATCTGGATAGGGAAAAGAAATCCAACCAAAATTCCTTGGCCTCCTTAAACTGTGGCATATACTCTTGTAGTAGAGTCTTCCATTCTTTGTCCTCCTGTCCCAGGCCTACACTTGCCGAGGCAAATTCCCACCACACGGGGAAATAACCACCTGTCTCCCAATCTATAATCCCAGTGAGATTGCCCTTATCAACCATGATATTAACATTTGTCAAATCTCCATGTGTGAATGTAAAGGGAGTTGCGGCTGGCATCTGCTTCTGAAGACGTTGACGAGCCTTCTTAGGAACATTTACGAGGACCTTATCCAGCTCAGCCCAGAGTTCTTGGTCGCTACTAAAAGGACCGTGAGGTTTGGTCGGGCCTGCTAGGAACAAGAAGGTGGAATACACGGGTTCTCCCGTGAGGCTTTGAATCCGTGGCGAGTGGAGATTTCGAAGTTCTGCGATGTAGTCGGCGGTTTGCTTTGCAATACGGCGCCTCTCATCAGGGGACAATCTGGGCCAGGCGGTATTCAGAGTTTGGCCTGTCAACTTTTCATTGACGATGAAATGGCGCCCATCCTCGGACCAATCCTTCATAACAGTTGGAACCGGAAGGTTGGTGTGCTCCTTCAGAAACCTGAGGTTGCCAGCCTCGTAGTTGGGGGGTGCAGTGGGACGCTCCTTGATTATCAATTGTGAGCCTACTGACCAAACCCCACGATCATACATAGCATGAGTGAGCTTGACGTGGCTGTGATATCGGCATTGTGCTTGCCGGTCTGAAGACCAGCTGCATGCAGTGCAGGGCCTGTCAGTCCCCATAGTTAAGCATGCGCTATGATCCCCCAGTGTAATGACTAGATATGTAAGGGGATCACTAGTCTATGAACAGAAACAAAATTATTCAAGAGTGTCCCAGGGTATTCGTGGGCCGATGTCGTTGGTGGTGGTCAGCTCCCTTGTCCCCCCCACCGAAGCCCCTCAACGCGTCGCGTCTTGTCCCGCGCCTCGGACGCGTAAATTAGTTGCATCAATCCACCCAAATTTCTCGACCCCGACTTGCCTCCACTCTAGAAGATCATCCCAACCCAGCAGTACCGATTGATTATACCTTTCTCATGGTGAATTATCAAGCCTAGAGAATAGGATATCTTTCACTCCCACATTCACTCTAGATACGAGACTACCAAAATGGCTGCCTCAAGCGAAGCCGGCTTCCCAATGTCGGATGCCCTCTCTCGAGGAGGAGCTACCCCCAGACGAGGGTTTCCATCCTCATCATCAGCCAGACCCCGCGGGCCGCCGTCAGAGAATACCGGTGCTGCGAGTGAGTTTGACGGAGATGGATTTGCAGACGATCAGGTTCCCCGTAGTTCGAGGATACCTGACGCTGCCAATATCCCTAAGATCGACGACAGGATTGGCATGATTGTCCAGGAGCATTTCGAGCAATTCCTTGAAGGGTATGACCTTCCTCCGAAGAAATCGTCTCAATTGTGTTCCTAACCTTCTACTAGTTTTGCTGAAGATCCTCTCTCGTCTGGCGCACCGACATCGAGCGCCGTTACCACCGATAAGTACTACATTGCCCAGATCAGAGGCATGCGAACATACCAACTCTCAACCATATACGTTGACTACAAGCACCTGGTATCATGGCAAAGTGGCAGCTTGGCCGATGGTGTTATCAACCAGTACTACCGTTTTATCCCATTCATTACTGGTGCTCTGCACAACATGATCGCCAAGTATGAGCCCCAGTACTTCCGCGAACATCGCCAGCCAACTGCTTCCACCCTGGCTACATCTGCCGCGAGCAACCTTGGATCTGCGAGCCAGTCCGAACCTTCTCACCGCAAAAACGAACATCAGCAGACGGATAAGCTCTTCTCCGTGGCATTCTACAACTTGCCACTCGTCTCAAGAGTCCGTAGCCTACGTTCATCCCACATTGGCCAGCTCCTCTCCATCTCAGGCACAGTCACGAGAACATCCGAAGTCAGGCCAGAGCTTTCGCTTGCAACCTTTGTCTGCGAAGCTTGCCGCAACGTTGTACCCAACGTGGAGCAGACCTTCAGATATTCTGAACCAACGCAATGCCCTAACCAAACCTGCCAGAATCGGTTTGCCTGGCAACTCGATATCCGACACAGCACATTTGTGGATTGGCAAAAGGTCCGAATTCAAGAGAATAGTTCCGAAATTCCAACTGGAAGCATGCCTCGAACGATGGACGTCATCTTGCGAGGTGAGATCGTCGATAGAGCAAAGGCTGGAGAGAAGTGCATCTTCACTGGAAGTTTAATCGTCGTACCTGATGTGAGCCAGCTCGGTCTGCCAGGAAACAAAGTCACCTCAGTCCGTGATGATCGGCGAGGAGATGATGCAGGAGGCAGCGGTGTCACGGGTCTGAAGGCTCTGGGTGTTCGTGATCTCACATACCGACTAGCGTTCCTTGCTTGCATGGTGTCCCCAGACACGTCTGGCTCTGGTCAGTCTGGCGCTGATACCGCGGCCGAGATCATCAATGCCATGACCCAGAGCAACGCCACTGAGACTGAGCAATCTGCGGAAGAAGCACAAGCAACTGTGTTGTCAAGCATGAACAATGCTGAAATTGATGATCTGAGAGCCATGGTGCACGGCGATCGAATCTACTCTCGACTTGTCAACTCGATGGCCCCAATGGTGTACGGGCACGAGTACGTCAAAAAAGGTATTCTGCTCCAGCTCCTGTCTGGTGTGCACAAGACAACACCTGAGGGTATGCAGCTTCGTGGAGACATCAACATTTGCATCGTCGGCGATCCCTCTACCTCAAAGTCACAGTTCCTCAAGTACGTTTGCTCATTTGCGCCTCGTGCGGTCTATACCAGTGGTAAAGCTTCATCCGCCGCCGGTCTCACCGCCGCCGTAGTCAAGGACGAAGAGACGGGTGAATTCACAATTGAGGCCGGTGCCCTCATGTTGGCTGACAACGGTATCTGCGCCATTGATGAGTTCGACAAGATGGATATCGCGGACCAGGTTGCCATCCACGAAGCCATGGAACAGCAGACCATTTCCATCGCCAAGGCAGGTATCCAGGCCACGCTGAATGCGCGCACCAGTATCCTGGCAGCGGCGAACCCTGTTGGCGGTCGATATAACCGCAAGACCAGTCTCCGCGCCAACATCAACATGTCAGCCCCCATCATGTCCCGTTTCGATCTCTTCTTCGTCGTTCTCGACGAGTGCAACGAACAAAGCGATCGCCATCTGGCCGAGCACATTGTCGGTATCCATCAACTCAGAGACGCGGCCGTCGAGCCTGAGTTCAGCACAGAGCAGCTCCAGCGCTACATTCGCTTCGCCAAGACCTTCAAGCCCGAATTCACCCCCGAAGCCAAAGAGGTCCTGGTGCAGAAATACAAGGAGCTGCGCGCCGACGACGCACAGGGCGGCGTTGGCAAGAATTCCTACCGTATCACCGTTCGCCAGCTCGAAAGTATGATCCGTCTGTCTGAGGCTATCGCCAAGGTCAACTGTACCGAGGAAATCAGCCCCGAAATGGTCGTCGAGGCATACACTCTTCTGCGCTCCAGCATCATCTCCGTTGAGCACGACGATGTCGAGATGGATGGTGACGAGGAAGACACTCAAGAAGAGGCCGAGGCTCTGCGTCGCGTTGTCGAGGAGGACAGCGCCGCGGCAGATCAAGAAGGCGAAGACTCCCAAGGAAGGAAGAAGCAGAAGATCACATACGAAAAGTACATCAAGATGGTCAACGCATTCGTTCAGCACATCAAGAACGACGAGACGGCCAGCGGCGACGGTATCGAGGGCGGGGAGCTCATCAATCGCTATCTGGAAGACGTGGAGGAGGAACTGGAGAACGAAGAGAGCTACGAGACGGAGAAGACGCTAGCCAACATGGTTCTCAAGAGAATGGTCAAGGTACGTAATAATGGAATTCATCGCAGGCCCCAGTCTTCGACTCGTCTAATCAAATCGATGGACACTGACCTTGCAATCTACAGGACAAGATTCTTATGGCCCTTCGCGGAGAGGGTTTAATGAGCGACGACGCCGCAGGATCATCTGCCGCAGCAGCAAACATCATTTATGTCCTGCATCCCAACTGCGCAGTTGAAGAATTTTAAGCGAACTCTGCGTGTTATTGGCGGGTGTCAATTTAACTTGCAAGGGGATGCTATTCCCCGAGCGAAGATTGTTCTATGATAATGCAACCACGGTGTATGATGAATGTCAACTGTCTGGTAGAGTTGGGAGAGGGGTTCAAGGAGTCTGGAGTTCAACCAAGCATATGGCGGTCAAAGTTTCGGGCATATTGGCAAATGAAGGGTGGCTGAATGCCTAGCTCTTAACCCCAAAATTGCAGAGTTTGCGATAGATGGTTTCCATATTTTGCTATCTCTGTTTGTTTATTTTTTTCTTGTTTTCGATAAAGAACAACATATTATCAAAAGAGAAGTGTAACTCTCGGAGTCCAAATATTCGAAACGAAAAGCCAGGGCGTAGAAATCATGCTCGCCAATATAACACACACTCAGCCACTGCAAGCTTCACAGCCTTAATTCAGCGCTGAGAGTATCATGATGAGAGGAAACCTATGATGACGATGAATTATGATTTCCTCATCTGGAATCTTTGTCGATGGGGAACAGGTTGTGTTGTTCCCGGAGCACATCATTGGGTACCTGGGACTATATAAATCACTCTATGCCCCCAAGCCACATCGTTCAGGAAATTGTAGAAGGGTGGGCAGGCAAGAGGCTACCGAGGAACAGGTTGAGCCGATGGTTCTCCAAGTTCATAAAGGGCATGCACTGTACAGACCATGTTCATCCAGACTTGCGGCAAATGTCACTTTACAGTAAGTACGAATGTTCCCCCAGGCAACAGGGCATTCATTTCTAGAAATATTCTAGACCATGACGATCAAATCAATCCTTTAGATGTGAACAATATTTTTTTCCTCATGTAAGATTTTATCTATATTTTCTCCCTACTGCATCACCATCGATGCTCTCACTTCGCCGTGAATCCCGTCACAGAAAACCCAAGTGAAAATGAAACCCCCTATGCCGCAAGCTGCACATCGACAGAACCATCAGCCGTGCCAAAGTACGCCGCCACGGGCTTCTGAGCCTGGCCCACCAGGCCGAGAGAGACGGCCTGGGTGCCGTTGAACCCGTGGAAGAGGCCGATCTCGACGATCCCCGGCACCCTGAGCAGCTCCTGGGCGAGCCTGCCCACCTCCCACTTACCGCCGTTCCTGCCCGCGCCGTCCTCGGAGGGGCCGAGGTCCTTGGGGAGCAGCAAGGGGGGGAAGGGGGCGTCGATGATCCACATGCCGTTGTCCGTCACGCACTCGCCGGCCTTGCTGGGCAGGCCGGAGCGGACGGCGGGCTTGGGCGAGCCCATGGCCTGCAGGCGGGTGAGGACGTCTGGCGCGGACAGGGGGAGGACCTCGATGGGGATGGTCAGCCACTTGGTGCATAGGCGGGGAGACTGCTTGCGGTAGTCTTTACGGTTGCGGTAAAGCTGAGTTAGTCAAATTCACTTGTGCGAGAGGGAGAATATTAGAGGTTGGACGTACCGGCCACGGCGATGAACTTCTTGGCCGCGATAGCGACGAGCTTCTCCTGGAAGAGACAGGCACCACCTCCCTTGATCAGGTTCAGGTCCTCGTCGACCTCGTCAGCGCCGTCAAAGGCCACGTCCAGAGGCACGCTCTTGCCATCCACGACGGGGCGCTCATCGAGGTTGGAGAGGTTGAGGCCAGCGGCTCGGATGAGACCCTTGGATTGGCTGCCGGTAGGGATGAAGGTCATGGGTCCGTAAAACTCGGGACCCTTGGCGACGATGGCATCGACGACATAGACGACGGTGCTGCCGGAGCCAATGCCGACGAAGCGGTGCTCGGGGAGGAGATGATCATTGACGGCCTGGAAGGCGGCGGCCTTCTTGGCGGACTCTACCAGGGAGGCTGCGGACGACATGGCGCGGGGCGAGAGTGAGAGTGAGGGCGAGTATGAAGGTGAAGGTGAAGGTGCTGCAGGCCGATGGCGGGGTGATGCAAATGACGTCGTCGTGCGTGTAGCTGCACCTGGTCTGGTCGCAAAGCTGGTCGGGCGCGTGCAAAGAGCACGTCTGGTACTGGCAAACGCAATTGAGGGGAGGCTACTGCCGGTGCAGGTTGAAGGACAAAACCTCAGAGAGCGCAAGAGTTGGAGAGTGGCCGTGGTGGAAGGCTGGCGAGGCCGAAATAACGCAGCAGCAGCCATCACAAGCTTTTTTTGCCTCTACATCCATTCATCGTCCAACGACGTGCATGAAAAGGTGGAGGAGGCGCTTCTTTGGCGGATCCTTACTAAGACCTTAGTCGTAGCTCACAAAATTGTCAAAGGATATCAAGGATTTAGAGGGTCAGGCAGCACCTAATCTTTAGGTTCTTTACGATCAACTCACACAAAAGGGGTCAGTTTCTAAAGATGGGGTTTTCACGATCAACAAACTCTAAATTTCGGACGTTTCAATGTTTTATATTTGATTAATAACATTTCAGTCAGTCGTGGTTCTGCGAGTGTGATTATGTAGCATCCAGGTTACTCCGTCTCAAGGCTCCAACCCCAATAGCTTCGTTGTTTCCCATCAGTCCACCCTATCCATATTCAGACGCCTGGGGTGAAGTAAACGGTAACATGCCGCGGGGATTTATTTCGGTGGGCGACTGAGTTCCATATAATCTCAGGCCGCCAGGCTAGGGAGAGGGAATTGCTTATTGAAAACCCTTCACCTTCGAATCCCATCCACAGTGAAAGAATCGAGTCAAGTCGAGAGAGTATAAATGTCGCGAGAATAGTAATGAAACAAGGAATTGAGTCAACAAGAAGAAAGGTCCAGAAACATATTATGAGTTTCTGGTCGTTTGTTCTCCAGGGTTATCGCCCGGAGATTATAAACACGTTGCGTTGCTTGTGTTAGGGAAGACAATATGTCGCCACATCGCAAAGCACTACATACTGTATGCGGTATCTCCGTAGTACAGATATGAAACGTGATTCGATTCGGGCATCCATCTTTTTTCTGGCATGGCTGCGAGATTAATTACAGCATGCAGGTCGTCGTACCAGAATTCTGATTGCTCTATGCCTGCGCTGAGGACTTAGGTGAGGAATGGGGAGGGGTTGATCGGGTCCAGTTGTCCGTTCGTCGACCTCGGTAGCTACTCCGCCCTCCTCGGCCAGAATGGTTCGAGCTGGTTTCTCTGTCATCTTGACTAGAGTTATCCCTTCGGTTTCCACGGTGGCCTCCACGGCTGCGTGAGCCACGTCCATGACCGCCGCGACCTCCGCGGGTAGCAGAGAAAGGAAGAATCACAATTCTGGATTCAGGCATTCCTGGGAAGTAAATATGCATAGCGTTGCCATTGCCCGCTACTTCAGCTGAGAAATAAAGCGGTTCTGCACCCGTCGCTTGGACTGAAAATCGCTTCGGAAGAGGCTTTGTTTGGGCTTCGGCTGGATGCCAAGCTGCCTCTGGGGCCTTGTGAGGAACCCGTACTTGAGGCAGAGACCCGATCTCAGGCTCATCGAAGCACTCCTCGGCCATTGGCTTGGAGATTGCATTCCTGATAACGTCCATGACGGAGGTGTGTGTGCGACCAGGGAGTGAAACGGTAGCCGTATCCGGTTGGATGACGTGGTCCAGGGCGCTCTTACTGGCAGCATCCACGACCAACGATTTCGGAGGGTGGCTCGGAGGATGGCTCGGGGGATGGCTTGGGATATGGTGTTGGTGCTTCCCGTCGCTGAAGAGGTTATCGAATTTCTTCTGCCAATCCCTCTCCAACATATCTCCAGCCCGACGACCAGGCGGCAAGGACTGCGGGGGGGCGCGGGTGGTGTCCCTAAATGGAGCCGGTGTCGCCCAGGCGAAATTCGACCTCTGCGGTTGCTGCTGAGCCTGGTTTGATTGGGCAGAAGGAGGAAGTTTCACGATGGGCTGTGGCTTGGGCAAGGAAACGTGAGGGTGCATCACATTGCCTTCATACGCCGGGTGGTCATCCATGGTTGGGGGAGGAGGCGAGGGCGATTGAGGCCGCGAGCTGTGGGCAGTGGTTTGGCCCTCCAACCGCACATCTTTGGCAGGAAAGAAACGAGAGGATCGCGACTGAGATTGTGATCCCGGAGATGGGTGTGGCAGGACTAAATTGCCCGGAGCGCCGATCACTCCTGCATGAGAGGCAATCGAACCTTCCTTCGGAGGAACGTCCCCAGGCGCTTGCCAAGGACCCTTGTGGGAAGCATTGGGATCAGTGGCACTCATCGGCTGCCGTGTTCCGTCGCCCGGGACATTCACAGGACGCCATGTCTCCTTGATAACAGGTTGAACATCTTCCGCAGTCAGTCCACGCTCGGCCAGCTTGCGATCACGTTCGGCTCTGTCAGCAAGTCGTGCTGCGTTGATTGCCTTGTCGCCCTCAGCAACAGAGGCAACCCACTTTGAAGCCAGGTCAGACACGGGTTGCACAAAACGAGAAGCTCTTGACCCGATTGGCGCAGGAGGTTGCTTTGATCGAGATTGCGACGGACTTGTTGGTCCAGGAGGGGCGATGGGCGAAGGGCCTTTTCCAATTGGCGCAGAGGCCCCGGATGCATTGAGCGCTCGACCAAGATCCGGGTCAAATGTCCCATTGCCGAGTCCTCGATCATTGTTTGGAGATCCCCAAACGTTTCTGGTCTGGGGTTGCGAGCCTGGGGCCCATGGGGTAAACCGATCACTTCGTGACCTGGAACCGGTCCAAATGTCCGGTTTTGCCTCTTGGTCGGAAGAAAGCCTCTTCGAAGCTGTCTCTGGCGTCACGGCTGTATTCGAAGGCGCGGCGGCAGGACTGGACTCGGCGGAAACTTGGGTAGCTTCCTCAGACTTGGCGGTAGATGATTGATTGGGTCCTGCAGGATTCTCAGACTGTTCACGCTGCTGGATATGTGTAGGCTTTGGTCCGTCACTTCCTGTCTGGGGCTCGACCTTGTCGCTTTTCTTTGGTGGGGGAGGGCCCATTGCTTCCAACTTCTTCTGGATACGTTCTCGCTTGGCGGTCTCCTCGGCTGCTTCCTGCTCCATGCGGCGCTTG